GGTCCTGCTCCATGAAAGACCAGGATATGGCATGTGAAGGGAGGGAACTGCTTCCTTCCTGCTTCTCATCCCAACGTAGAAACCGGTCTCATAAATTGGGCGTAACGGTAGTCATCCACCTGCAGTTCTTGTCACGGCAGCAGCGGTCAGTGTTGCTGGATTGCTGTGCTCCGCGGCCTCAGCCGAAGCGTGCCGCTGGCTGCTGGCAGCCTGGAGGCTGCTGCCGGAAACGTGGAGCACAGGAGTCTGCAGGGGTTATTTGAACATCTTTTTATCTTTTTCCTTTTCCTTTTCTCTTCTCTTCTCTTCTCTTCTCTTCTCTTCTCTTCTCTTCTCTTCTCTTCTCTTCTCTTCTCTTCTCTTCTCTTCTCTTCTCTTCTCTTCTCTTCTCTTCTCTTCTCTTCTCTTCTCTTCTCTTCTCTTCTCTTCTCTTCTCTTCTCTTCTCTTCTCTTCTCTTCTCTTCTCTTCTCTTCTCTTCTCTTCTCTTCTCTTCTCTTCTCTTCTCTTCTCTTCTCTTCTCTTCTCTTCTCTTCTCTTCTCTTCTCTTCTCTTCTCTTCTCTTCTCTTCTCTTCTCTTCTCTTCTCTTCTCTTCTCTTCTCTTCTCTTCTCTTCTCTTCTCTTCTCTTCTCTTCTCTTCTCTTCTCTTCTCTTCTCTTCTCTTCTCTTCTCTTCTCTTCTCTTCTCTTCTCTTCTCTTCTCTTCTCTTCTCTTCTCTTCTCTTCTCTTCTCTTCTCTTCTCTTCTCTTCTCTTCTCTTCTCTTCTCTTCTCTTCTCTTCTCTTCTCTTCTCTTCTCTTCTCTTCTCTTCTCTTCTCTTCTCTTCTCTTCTCTTCTCTTCTCTTCTCTTCTCTTCTCTTCTCTTCTCTTCTCTTCTCTTCTCTTCTCTTCTCTTCTCTTCTCTTCTCTTCTCTTCTCTTCTCTTCTCTTCTCTTCTCTTCTCTTCTCTTCTCTTCTCTTCTCTTCTCTTCTCTCCTCTCCTCTCCTCTCCTCTCCTCTCCTTTTTGTTTTTTTTCCTCCCTCCAAAACTTCTCCACTTGGATGTTTAGGAAAAGGGAAGCTTTTCTAGGCAAATGTAGAAAAAATGGAAATGGCAATTCGAAGAAACTAGGCTGTTTGCTTTGGTTAAAGATGGGCCTTTTTACACAGAAGTATCTGTGCACTCTCGGAGGACACTGGGCTGGAGTACATTTGAATTGCAAAGCGCTCAGGTTGTGCGTGTACTCTGGCATCGGTGAGGAACAGTGTGTAAAGAATGGAAATTAGACTGAATACATTGTTCTGTATGGTTTTAGTTTGTAACCTTGGGAAAAAGATAAATCAACCTTTCAGTTATGCTGTGAAGAAAGCTTTGGATGGCTGTTCTTTAGATGCTGATTCATTTGTAGAGTTAGTGCCAAGGTATCTTTATAAAGTTCCATTACTGTTTTGCATACAAAGCATAAAAATAATCTAAGGAGATTACAGAGAAGAACACGCTCAGCTCTTCCTAATAAGAGCGAGATACAGAGCTCCTAATGGCGAAGGGCCTCAGAAATGTCAGTACGGTCCTTGCAGCCCAGACGGCATCAAGCCTTTGCCAGACTACGTTAGAGTAGACTGCTAATGTGCCGGTCACGTTTCTGTCTGAAAACGCTGTGACTAGTATAGCAACAAGGAGCGCCCAGATAACAGCAGCTGGACAAGATTAAAGACTATTTGTTTCCCTTCGGTCTTCCAGTTTACGGTGTGAATTTGACAGTATCTGGTAGGTAATCGGTGTTGCAGCTGCCGAGGAGCCTATTTAGATGCCAGCATTGCATCAAGGTCCACTGACGTCTCCGAATATCTTCGCTCCGAGGCATTTGTCGTGATGCCAACCTGACCCAGATGCCCAGGTTATCTGATGACTGGAGGTGTCCATGAGGAACCGGGAGTCTCTTTTCCAGCCTTGGCATTTACAACAGAGGGATCACTTTCTCCGTTATCTAAAGTGGAGAATTTTTTTAGTAATAAGATTGTCCAGACACTTTTGCAAGTATGGTCCAGGTGCAGCCCTTGAGGAGCTAGTATAAAGGATAAGGGGATGAAATAATTTTGTTGTTCTTGTTGTTGTCATTACTATTATTATTACAGTTCTGCATTTTGAAATCCTACAACCTCCTGGAGCAAAGTATCAGCTGTTGCTCCTGGTTATGGTGAAGGCAACTGTGCTGCACCAAATTTATACCAGTTAAAGATCTAATGATTTATTTGTCTTCACTCAAGTCAGGAATTAGCTGCTGCATTTGCAAGTTTTATCACTCGGCCAGTTTGTCTGGGATGAATCAGGATCAGACGTTGTGGGCTTTACAAAAACAGTTCCGCCCCACTTGCCAAAAAGAGTTTAATCTTGCACTGGTTTTTATTGCTTCCCAAAAGTTGTGCTCTGCAGTAAAGCAAGTGTAACCAAAAGCTGTTGCAAAGTTCAACGTGAATTTTGCAACCTGAACATGGTGGATTCACCATGTCCAGCTCCCCCTCCATCTGTAACGGGAGATAGCTGTTCTCCTTTAGACACTGTGGTGCTCACTGTTGTACTGCACTCCAGTTCCAGTCCTTTTCCCTAATTAGGCAATAATAATTATAAACTAAGCTTAAGGAAGTAGGGTGAAGCAAGGTGCTATTTTCAGGTGTTATAGAAGGCTGAAGCTAGGAAATTCTTGGCGTTCCCTGAACGCCCACGCGCAGGCACTGGCAGCATCGGCTGTGCCTTTCTTTTACAACCTCAGAGCTCCGTCTCAAGGAGAGTCTTTCGGTTGATTCAGTGGGGACTGGATCAGGCCCCCTGTCCTCTGCCTTTCGGTGCACGCGTGTGCGCGCAGACCCTTCGTACTTCCATCCTGCTGCCTCCTTGGAGATGACCTGCGTGAGCCTGCAACACGAGCTGGAGATCGTGCGTGCGGCAGCGCTTCCCCTCTTGGCTTAAGCTCGGCTAAGATTCGGTTACCCTTAATCCACGTTTCCAGGATCAGGTAGGTGTGGAAACAATGCAAGGTTATCCCGCACTGAGCTGGTACGGCATGTCTTCTGACTTAAATTCACAGCTTCGCTGTCCACATGTTCTATTATTACAAGGATATTGACCAAAAGGGTTTAAAATACCTGTGGCTCCGAAGATTGGCTACGCAGCTCCCTTGCAGCTTTTTACTGATCAAATCGAGGGGTAACGTGCCTTGCCTGTGATCATTCAGTTTGCTTTCCCAAGCAAAAAAAAAAAAAATGCTGGGGGCTCGTACTACTCGAAAGTACGAAGAGAGTCTTTAAATCTCTGCAACAGAAAAGGTGAGAATGCGGGTTATTCTTAATAAATAGTTTTGTCAACTTCCCATCCGGCAGTGTTCAGCTTCCTTGTTTCTCTGGGCAAGGAGCTTAACAAAAGAGCTCTGTTTTAAACACACCTACACATGTAATGGTAAAACGGTGCTTGGTTCAGCTCGCCCTCTGTAAAACCTCCAGTTCAGCTTTCTTTAAGATAATCCTGTCACAACAAAACAAATGTTAAAAGGAAAAGAATGTCCTTTTTTTTTTTTTTTTCTTCTTTAGCTGATGATGAGAGAATGACCTGTGCTTCTGAAATCTGTATGGAAAACCTGCTGGTGAAATGGTTCTACCTCTCACTTTCTGCCAGTGCTTTTCCATGTCGGAGAACATCAGCCAGTGCCAATGTTAACTTGTGCTAGTAAAGGACCTGACCCTAACAAGCATTTTTTACTTTGTACGTTTTCCTGTATTGTTTCTTTTCACAATCTTAGGCAGTTCTAGGAGAGTCCTCTTTCAGTGTCTGGTTACCATCTGCAGAGGGCATTTTAATCTATTTACTGACTTATTCAGGACATGCTGTACTGTGAAATTTTCAGTGAGATGAAGCCTTTAAAGATGCGTCATATCCTCCTCTTGCATTTATGCTTTATAGGTAGTCAAGGTGGCCCAGCAGGCTGTCACGTTTGGGACTTCAGTGCTACACAGGTCCAGTGCTGCTCCTCGTTCTCACAGGAAGAGTTAGAAACTGCAGAGATGAGTGCTAGAGCAGGGAGAGAGATCCCCCATGGAAAGCAGAGGGAGGATTAAGGACAAGCCCAAAGGCTGGGGCGAAGGAGAGTCTGTGCGGCGTGTTCAGGGTACCTGATCGCTAATCCCCTGCTTTGACTTTCCATTGCACCTTTATGTACTTTAAATAAGGTTGTCGGTGGGTTTTTTCTCTTAAGAGCTAACGGAGGCCTTCCTAAGCGTTGGTGACTGAAGCAACCGAAGGCCAACCGTGCCGCGCCGTGCCTGGGGACGCACCCAGGCTCATGGGCTGCAGGGGGACACCGGCCGGCTGCAAGGCCCCGGGGGATGCAAAGGATGCACATTGCTGGCACTTGGTTGTCTTGTCTCTTCCTGCATTTTTAGCAGCACCGAGGAGAGATCAAAACAGCGTTGTGCGGGCTTCCACCCCCTCGTGGTAATTGATTCTTTAGATGACTTTGCCGGCTGTCGCTTTAAAATGAAGGGAACCTTGTGAAAAAAGTGCTCCTTCAGCATCCGTAAGAATCACATGCAGCCACCCTGCTTGGTGCGCCGTGCGGGAGTCCACACGCAGCCCGGCCTGTAAACTCATCCTGTGAACGGGCCCCCACGCTCGTCCCAGAGGCGTGAGGCTTCTGGCTGGGAGGTAGAGGGGAAGACCCCCCGCATTCAGTGATAACCCGCTTCTCTGCCCACGCCTCTTGCCTTGCAAATACGAGGGGGAACGTGTCATGTGAATGTCAGGAACCGTGCATGATTGCTGCTTGGTTCGCTTGGAAAGCAGTGAAACAGAAGTAAGCACGAGCAATTTTAAATATGGCTGTTGGTGTTCCTTCACATTCATCTTCCTTGGAAGAGCCGGCCTGTTGCTGAACGCAAAATCCTTCTGCTTTTACCTAGGCGGAGTGAAACTCCAGGCCGGCCTCACTCCTGGCATTCAACCAAACTTGTGGAGACCCAACCCGATCCCAGCATGATGCAAATATCTCAGGGTATGCTTGGCACCCCTTGGCATCAGCCCTACCACTCCAGGTAAGCACTACACAGCTGTGGTCCTGTGCTGCATAGGCAGAGATGTAAAGCAGTGTGTGGTTTTCATTTTGGTATCATTTGCCCTCTTTTGATATATCTCCCATGGGTGTAGAAATCAGGCTCCCGAGCAAACATGCCTCTAAACTAGTCCCCTGGTCCTATGTCCTTCCTTGTTTCCAGTGTTATGCTGACTTCAGGGAGGCTCTGCCTCATGCCCAAGGATGTGTCTTGATGGTACTGACTACAAGATCAGGGTCTAAATCTAGAGCACAGGAGTGAAGGAATGGGACAAAAGATGTGGTGGAAAAATGTTACCAGTCGCCTCCATACAGCTGGACAGGCTTACAAACATCGAGGGTTAGGATTAGAGTTAGGAAGGCTTAGATTCCAGTTTGGTTACCCAGATAAAGTGGCCATGTTTTCTCCTTTGAGTGCTCTCTGAGGTGATTAACAGCTAGGAAATTAATTGCTTTAAAAATCCCACTTCCTACCAAGGTGGGAGTCTACTGTCAGGACATTAATGCTGCTTTCTCTGGGACTGGATGCAGGAGCTGGAGTCCTGCTCTGCATCCTCCACATAGAACCACAGCATGGTTGTTTCACCAGCAAAGGAGACGAAATCCAAAGTCAGAATTAGCCTATTAAAAAAAAAAAAAAAGGAAGAAAAGGGTGTAGGCAGCAGGGCAGCTGTGCCCATCAGCATAACCAGGCTGCTCTCAGTGCCGACAGTAGTGCATCACCGACGATACTCGCAGGGTGAGAAGTTCAGCGAGGGGTTTCCTGGTTTTGACAATTGCTTTCTGCACGGGTCAGCTTTATCGTAACTGTATGTGCATGGCTGTTTCTCTAAGAAGTTAGTGCAGTGGTTTATCAGTCCCCAGAAGACTAAATTAGGAATCTTAGCGCTGTTAAAAGAAGGTGGTATGAAGCACCTCTGGTTTTGGCCGTAGACCGTGGCCGAGGCAGATTGGAAGCAGTGATGCGGTCCCAGCGAGTTGCGGCTGTTTATGTGAGGCCACGCAGTGTGGTGAGTACGGGGAGGAGAGCTGCCTAGGGCAGACATACCCCTCAGCCACCCTGAGCAGCCCCAAAATGTTCTTGGTGGTAAGCCCTGGGGCAGCTTGAGGGAGGACAAGTTTCAACTTTGCCCTTGGAGGATTTTCCCTGGAAAGGCAGAAGGGTTTCAGGAGCAGGAAACTCTCCTTGTAGCCACTGGGATTTAAACATCATTTCTTCTACAGGCGAGCTGAGCCTTGGCAGGGGAAAAAGAAAACAGAGCATTAAAAAAAGTGAGGAGATGGTTGCAGAAAGAATGTATGTTCATCTCTGGCCTTCAGCACAGATCATGCTGTAGCATATTCATTTCCCACCGAGGGGCTTTGCTTCCCAGCCACAGCTCCTGGCAGAGCCTTTGGCAGCGCGGCTCTGTCTCCCGAGTGCCTGAAGAGGAGCACGGGGAACATCTAGTGGCCAGCTGGCCAGGGCTGCGCTGGGCATTGCCAGGGAGATATTTCTTTTAAACTAAAATAGAGTGGTGCATTTAAATGAGTAAACCAGCTTTATCCTGAGATTTGCCATAAGTCTTTCTGCCTGTCTCTGCGTTCCTCTGCATCTCTCTGCAGAGCTGCTGCTTTTTCCCCTCGCAGGCAGGCTTCCTTCTGCCTTCCCTCATCCTTAGCAGCCTTCTCCCCCCTGCCTGTCCTTTGGGCTTGTGGGTGTCCATCCAGCAGGATGGAAGTGACTGGGATATGATCTGGAGCAAGCTTTAGGCTCTTCAGCAGACGCTTGTTAGGGAGGGGACTGTTAGAAAACGTACCTGCTGCCTCCTTGATTCTCAGGGTTGCTGTGCATCCCCAGCTCCCCCGCTGCGTGGAGCAGGTTTGGTTTTATTACCCAGCGGAGCAAAGCACGCAGAAATGGAGCTTGCCTTCCCCTGTGCCAGGTGAGGCTGCAGCTTGCACCCTGGCGAACCCAGGCTCCTCTCCGTGGCTGCTTGCAGCTCTGAGCCTCGCCTTGCCGCCCTTCGCGTGGGACAGCAGTCTTTCCTTCCCTGGGGCTTTCCTGTGGCTCCGCCAGGACAGCGCATGTAGCTGCACGGGGAACTAGAGAAAGAGATATCTAAGGGAGGAGAGCTGGGAACAGAGGGGAGGAAAGTGAAATCCTTGGGCTACGCTCCCCAGTACTCAGTGTATTTGCTTGAGTCTGGGAGGAAAGATTAGCCAGGGGAAACTCCACATAAATTTGTGATATCCCCACGTGAGGTGTAAAAAGAACTGTGGCCGGCACAAGGAGCTCCCTCGCCACTGACAGAAAGATGTCTGAATATCCTTCTTTTTGAACACATCTCTGGTGGCCACGAGTCCTCTTTTGGCACACGTGTATCTCGGAGCAGGTGCCCAGGTGTACCTGCACCTGCTGAGCTACATGAGGAGGTGGCTGTGAAGATTTCCCGGGGCATCCTCAAACTGTTTCTGTTGTTGCACCCCCGCTTGCCTCCACGCACAAACACATGCATCTCTTCTCTGTCTTGTCAGTTTAGTTTTCTCGCAGCAAACAGACTGTCCTTGGGACAGCTGAATTTCCAGGAAGCCTGCCAGGGCATAGCCTTCGTCTCCATAAAAAGAAATGAAATGGGAAAAAAAGAAAGATATTAGATTCCCCCCAGAACGCCTCTCGTGCTCCTCTCCTCCTCCTCAGTGGCGTCTGCGCTCATTCAGCTTTCCAAGTGCTTTGGATAGGTTTGATGGGTGGGGTTGATCCTCCCTGGCTCCAGAGATGCACTGTCTTTCTGTCTGTATTTCCCTCCCACCCTTCTGTGGTAAATAAGAGCCTTGTGTTGCAATGTCAAGCAGTTCCTCTTTGTGAACTGGGATGACTGCAAACAGGGGATGGAGTCAGGCCCAAATATGGGTTTTCATCTGCACTTCTCAAAACTAAACATCTTGCTTCTGAGCTCACTTATAAGTTGTGCCTCTCCTCTGCTGACAGTGGGTTTTTACTCTTCTCTCGCTCTTCCCCAGCTCCTCAACCAGCGATCTCTCTGGCTATGAGCATGGCTATCTGAGGAGAAGTCCTGACCAGTACAGTTCCCGGGGCAGCATGGAGAGCTTGGACCACTCCTCCCCTGGCTACCACCCTTGTCACCTGTCCCCGGCCAAATCCACCAACAGCATCGACCAGCTCTCCCACCTCCACAGCAAGAGAGACTCTGCCTACAGCTCCTTCTCCACCAACTCTAGCATCCCCGAGTATCCCGCTCCTCCATTCAGCAAGGAGCACTCCTGCTCCATGGACAGCATGCAGTCCCGAGGCGGCCTGCAGGAGGGGATGAGGCAAGCTGACATCAGGTACGTCAAGACAGTCTACGACGCCCAGCGAGGGATCTCCAAGGAGTATGAGGTGAAGTCCTCCACCTTGCTTCCGAGCTGCGAGGCCCGGGCCTCGCTGGACGCTCGCAGCCACGGCAGGCTCCACGGCTTTGGCCGGCACAACGCAGCTCCCTCCAGGGCGCAGCCAGGCCAGGGCTCCTCGGACAGCAAGAGCCAGCCCCCCAAGGGACCTCCCTTGCCTCCCACTCGCAGCGACAGCTACGCAGCCATCAGGCATCACGAGAGGCCCAGCTCATGCGCCGGCCTTGATCTGAACAAGCCTGGTCGAACGCAGCCGAAAGCGTCCTGGCCTCCGCTTGTCAGCACCCTATCCCAGGGACCGGTGCTGAAAGCCCCCTTTGGAGAAGGGCATCTGCACACCGTGGTGGAGAAGAGCCCAGAGAGCAGCCCCACCACGAAGCCCAAGCAGAGCTATTCCCAGCCAGCCCAGCCGGGGCAGCCCCTGCTGCCTACTGGTGTCTACCCGGTACCTTCCCCAGAGCCGCACTACGCCCAGGTGCCCCAGCCTTCTGCAAGCAGTAATGGGACGCTTTATCCAGCCCTGGCCAAAGAAAGCGGGTACTCTCCACCTCTTCCAGTCTCTTACGACAAGGCCGTAGCCAGCAGCACCCTGGGCTTTGATGAGAATGGAAACCAAAGCACTACAAGCAGGGCAACCATCTTCTACCAGCCCCCAGCAGCTGAGAGAAAGCACGATGCTGCAGCAAAACTTCTCCAGCAAAAACCTCCTAGCACGGCAGGCCCAGAAACCTGCCTGACCACGTCGAGAAAGGAGGAGTTGTTATCCCCTTACAAGGTAACACACAGCAACCGAGAGACCTCAAGTACTGCAGAGGCCTCCAAACACAGTTTTCAAGCCCCGCAGCCCCAGCTGAGGGATGCTAGTGAGAGAAAAACCCATTACCAGCCCAAAGAGGACTGGACGGCTGAATCCCAGGAGGACAAAAACGGCAACGCACAGATAAACGAGAGACATGCTGCTGCTCACCACCAGTGGGGTCACAGCAAGGCCAAGCAGTATGGCTTCTCCTCCTTGCAGAACATCCCAGACAGCTCCAGGAGGCAAAGCAGCTCGGAGCTAAAAGAGATGCAGCCAGGCGAGGGCTATCCCAACACCAAACTGTCCTTCTTGAACAGCAGCAGTAAAGAGGAGAAGGATCACAGGGGACAGGGGCACAAACAGCGGAGTGATGTGGACCCACAGGCCTTTGCGAGGCAGGCGGAGGAGGGCACGAGTGTGACTCCCTTCCATGCTGCTGAGCCGAAGTGCGAAGAGCCCCCTTCTCCGCAGCAGCCAAAACCCTCTGAT